CGGTCCTTGAACGGCTTGTTTAGTACAACGTCGATCGGTTGGAGGGTGGACGTCATACCACCTGGTATCACGGCGAGGTCCGTTTTTACATCGCCTAGTGCGCGCTTCACGGCGTCGATCAAGTGACTACAAAACGCATATGACACCAGCATGCTGCTAAGACGCAGCAGTGCACCTGGCCGACGGTTGCAGACTACTCGTATCTATTCGAGCATCATAGCCTCGTCCATGTATCCTTTTTTGTTGATGCGAACGACAACACCGGGCCGGAACACTTTCTTCAGCATTGTCTTACAATTGCAAATAATGAAGGGCGGAAGCTTTCTACCATCTTCCATGCATGCCAGCATGACGATGAAGCGCGAGTTCTCGTTGCCAGTGGACAACAGCTTCATATCCTTGGCATCACGCTGCATGATCAGGCCCCACCACGGTGGTTTAGTGGCTAAAGTACTCGGCCGCTGACTAGCAGGGCGCGGGCTCGAATCCCGGCTGTGGCGGCTGCATTTCCGATGGAGGCGGAAATGTTGTAAGCCTGTGTGCTCAGATTTGGGTGCACGTTAAAGAACCCCAGGTGGTCGAAACTTCCGGAGCCCTCCACTACGGCGTCTCTCATAATCATATGGTGGTTTTGGGACGTTAAACCCCACATATCAATCAATGCTGCATGATCATGCTCGATGAAGGCATGTCAAACCACACGGGGGTCTCATCGGCATTGTCAATCTGCCCCATCATGTAGTTGTTCTGCTCCCGAAGCCGGTTCACGAAGCCTTGAAAGTTTATAAACTTGTCCTCGAACTCGTCTGGAAAGTTCTGACATATGGATGTGTGCCACCGAAAAGGAAATCCTTTGCGTCTCATGAATCGACGCACCCAAGAGTTTGGTGCACGAAACTCTTCTCTCGTGGGCACAGCTTCTCCAGTAAGTTCCACAGCTTTCTTGCGAATGTTATCCATGGTCACTGGCAGCGAGCACGCATGAACTTCCCACATAAAGTTCCCTAGCGTATTCTCCAGCTACGGATGAAGCGCACTTTGCAAACGAAATGAAATTTTCCGAGGATTGCACATCTGCAGCTTCCCTTTCTGCCCCCTCCAATAGCGCACGCTTTTTTCTGATACACCAAAGCGGCACTGAGCAGCCACATTCCCATTGGCTTCTGTGAACTCAACAACCTCTAGTTTAAATGCAGCTGAGTACTGCCTTCTCGTACCGCTACTCGTATTCAGTGAACGAAAAAAAGACCACTAAAAATGAAACACAATGTCAAGCGGAGCGAGAACTTGGAACAGATCGAAGGCAAATCACGAACACAAAAAAACAGACAAGAGAGAAAAAACAACAACCTGCTATTGGATTTGAATGTGAATATGGCCGTGTCCAGGTTCTCATGCACATGCAAGCCACATGTTGCCAGACAGTGGTGAACTGTCGGCTAGACACCGCTATATGAGACAACGGGCGACCTTTAGCTTGTTGCTTTATTGAAAATATCTCTACCTATATTCCAGTTTATACGGTACATTATATGCACCAAACTGATGGAAACTCTTACCAAGAGGATATTCCTTGTCGCAGGTATTACCTGTGGAACTAAAACAAAACAATTAGCTCATAAAAGGACACTACATCTGGCACCCCAAAGGTCAGGTTACAGCTTATTAGTGGCAGGACACCAAAAAAGTCCGCCTGTTGTCAAACTTTCATAATCCAACGGAAACTGTGGAAGTACCACGAAAGCTTACAAATGGCTCTTCGGTGGCTGTAACCTGCCCGAAAGCTGTGGCAGACTACAACCTGTGGATGGGAGCTGTGGACAGATGTTCCAAGAAGTCGTGGTACCGCATCTTTTATTTTCTCTTTGACACAGCTGTCATCAACGCATTCGTACAGCACAACGCCAACAACGACATAAGCTACATGTGGTTTTGTCTTGTGCTAGGGCAACAAATGATAAACAGACATACTTTCAGGCACTACACAAGGACTGCGCCATTCCGAAAAAACAAGCAGGGACAGAAGAACGGTCATAAGATGGTTGGAGTATCGGATGAAATCGGATTCACAGGAGGCGACCACAATCCACAAAAAGGAATCTCACGGAGAAGGTACAGATGGTGTTCAGAAACTGGAAATGAGGTCCGCACAAAGTTCACATGTGCAGCTTGCAAGGTGCCACTCTGTCCCACTTGTTTTGGTGCATTTCACTCTAAGTAAGCACGTAAGTGAAATCGGGAAAGTACATTCACGAGACAATGGGACAGTGTTATCCCACTTTTCATGGGGCCTGAATACACCAATAGAACATATACGTCCCAATTTTCTCTAATAAACTAAGCATGTTATTAACCTGAAATATTTCGCTTATCATTTCTAAACTGTTAAAAAGCTCAGAGAAGCAAAAATAGTTTCAATTTGCCTTGAAAAATATAGACCTCACAAAGGGATAAAATATTTTATGCAACATTTTCAATCTTGACTTTTTCCTTCATATTTCCAGCGTCTCCCACCCGAAATTCTCTTTTACAAGGTATGTAGTGCCTTCATCATCATCATCATTATTTGTCACCATGCTGCGCTTCTCACGCTGGTGAGGCTTGGAGCTTGAGGCACGTGCTCGAGCTCCAAGCCTGAGCTCCAAGTGAAGTCCTCGCGTCTGGCAGCTAGGACGCTACAAGTGGTGACTTGAGGGATGCGCCCTTTGCCGAGCAGACCGCTGCCATGCTTCCGCAACTCTGCCCACCAGTGAAGCCTTTCTACACCGACTACCCCAAAGTATGGTTCACGCAGGTCGACGCCATTGTCACAATGAATGGTGTCACGAACCAGCCGCTTATGCACGCCATCTTACTCGATACACTGCCGGTCAAGTTTTGTCATCTCGCAGCCACATCAAGCTTCAGCCCGCAGCCCTACGATAACCTCTGCTCTGTGGTGCTGGCCTGCTATGGCCTCGCCTATCGCACGCTTCTGGGAGCCCGCGACCTCCAGGTTTCCCCGGCGTCACAGCGAGCGGCACCAACCGACCCGCAGCCCTGCCTTGACCATGACTTTGCTCTTCAGACTACGTCACATCCAACTTCACATCCGGTCACCAGCAGAAGTTCCGCGTCCGACCATTCACCCGACGAGGTTCATGACATTTGTGCCACATTCGCAACTCATCAGCAATGAAGTGCTTTTTTTTTATGTCCTCGGCCAATGATCCTTCAAGCACGCTCGCCATCCGCATGTCTTCTCTGACCTCCATGGCGCACGACCCTTCAGACGTGTCAGACTCCACGACAGCTACATCACTGCACGCCCCAGAGTCCGCCACGCTTATAGACATCGTCACCCAATGGTCGCAGAGGATTCATTGTCGACGATTTCCAAAGGCGACTCTCCACCTACCTCAACGTTCTGCGCGTCCTGCTAGCAGCGACCAGCCACGCCTTCACAGTCTCCCACAGCCGAAGTTAAAGCCCCCAGCCATCTATGGCCAAACTTCCGAGATGCTGCGACTATGACCGACGCTCCCGAGTACGACGTGCCTGGTCTGTCTACGGCATAGCAGACCGCACATGCTGCGTCTGCCATAGAGGCAGCCATCGTCTACGTCGACCTACGCATGAGCCCTCGTGTGCTAATCACCGAAGGTGCTTCTATGAGTCTAGATGCACTGACTGTTCCTCTTTCCGAGTCCATGCTTGCTGTGTGCCATGACGTGCCTCCTGCAGAGTTCTCGACCGAGGACGCTAACAAGCCAGTGTACAACTCGAAGACGGGCAGGCCCTTTGACGCATCAGAAGCGTTCTCTCCCTTGGCCCGATGTGCTGACTGACCATGTACTGTCCCCCCCACTACAAGCAATGCGTGCAGCATGGTCCTTTGAGCACTGTGTTTTCGTGTCTGCTAACTCGTTACCCGTGTCAAAACACCGGCCGCCGTAAGACACACAGGGAATCGTTGCACCACCACCAACGTCCACAGCAGTACCACCGATCGATCCTCTGCCAATGTTAGCGGCCATACCGACACATTGATCGCGCCCGCTCTCAGCCGTGTTCACTCGCGCCACTTGGTGCGCTCATGAACGCACCCACCAAGCCATCGGGGCACCTGATTGTCTATATAAACGCACCGGTTTCTTGTTCCTTGGCCACTGCGTTCCTCCCACTGCCAACCATCGAAACAATCATGAAGACCGTCTGATTTTTCATGCTAACGTTTTGTACTTCCCAAAGGACACCCTACGGATTGTCGTTCATGTAAATTATCTCTTTCCCTGTTTCTTTTATAGCCTTTGAAATCCTACAAAGGGCTAGGGCGGGAACCTTGTAGTGCCTTCATCATCATCATCACTCAGTGACCACGCTGCGCCTCTCGTGCTGCTCGGAGCTTAAGGTGCGTGCTAGAACAGAACGAGTCCCTACGCCTGGCGGTACGGACGCAGGCAGCCGTCGCTGCTCCGCTTTGACCTTCAAAAATAAAGTGGCGAGATCCCACACGTCTCTCTGCCTCTCGCTACAGGTATGTTAAATTGCCTCCTATAATTATTGAGAACAAACCGTGCCTCTAAGTTCTGTACCTTTTCTAGTAGCTCAATGTCTTTTTTTTACTCACAAGTCCCGCACTGTACAGGCATATTTGAGCACAGATCAGATATTCATTACATGCAGTAGTTGTTCTAAGTGGTCTACGCTGGAGAATTTTTATGAACTGAAAGGTTACTTTTCAAAAAGATGCTTACTGCAACAATAAAACCAGATATGAAATGCATCAATTAAAAAGTAAAGGTGAATTGTGGTTGGTCCTCTTTTACATTCAGCAGTTCTCCACAAAGCCTTTTGTTATAACAAAGGCAGTCTATATTTTTGCACAGAAATTTGTGCAAATTTGTGTCTTTTTACATATGCACTGCACCTGCATACGATTTGTAAAGTCAACTTTATCATGAAAAAAATTGCACTAAGTACTGAGTGTCACAAACAAGGAGGCGCTATCTGTCACTGACCTGGCATCTTCCAGCTCCGCTTCATCTCCCTTTTTAAACTCCAAGTTGAGTGGATGCTCCATGCTGTACACGCGGTGCACCGATGACTGCAGCAAACTAGCAACAGTTGCAGATTCACTTCTTGCCTGACAATACAAGGGACAGGGGTATTAAAAGCAGCACAGGCAAATTTCTATACAGACAGCAATGCCACCAGCATAAAGGCACATAAAATGTTGGAGAAGTTGGTGAGATGCTTGTAGAAAATCTAAAAAAAAAAGCACACGATACGAGAAAGAAGGCAGACGCACAATGCTTGAACTACCCAATTGTGAACTGCACTGTGTGTGTGTCTCATCTCTTCCCTGCCGACGTCTTCAAAGCGCACTCACATCGATGACGTGCAGAACCGACTAGCCCATCTAAACACATTAAAAAGAATGCGACATTATTGAAGAAAAACGTACAACCAAGAAACCTCACAATGTATGTGCAGTGCATTCTTATCGCCTACCACATCACCAGGTGAAAGAAAGATAAAGTACACAAACATGTTTCTTGCCATTACAGCAAAATAATAAATTTTTTATCAAGGAGGTCTATCAAGAGCGTGCTTATAAAGTTTTCTCTGATCCTCTTAAAATGGTATGCCTCCACAATTTTCTGAACCCATTTTCCCTTCCTTTACAAGGTAACCAACATTAGTTAAAAGTGGGTGGCAACCACATACACAACAGTGATGGGCCAGATTAACATCATCAATCGAATTCAAAGAAGCGTGATGCTCACACAGCTGAGAAATGATGCATCGGCCAGCTTGGCCTACGTATACATTATCACAAGTCAGCAAAATGTTGTGCACTACAAATATAGCACATTTAGTGAAACAACACTTGTGCTTTGTGGCGCAAACTGAATTACTAGTAGCCCTTTCATGAGCCACTCATGTAGCCCTTCCACAAGCCACTCATAAGTTTATGCAGGTGAGCTTGCAAGGAGCTAAAAGTAAAATATTTATACGCTGTCGTCGAAATATACGTTTTCGATATTATGCAAAACCTTAAGCGTGTAACGTAGGACTTGAAAAAGTTTCTTTTGAATGCCTTGTGCTAGCATTCTACTACTAGCTTCTGGTCTCTTAGTCTTCGCTAGTACAGATTCTGCCATAGCGTATTATTTTACTTATTTTCCAATACTGCAGCCCGGTACAGGGCTTTCGCAGGAGTGAGTACAGAGCAGTAAAAATACAAAAAATATACTGAATAATTGAAATAAATACAAACATTGACAGATCAAATAATTACGAAAAATGATATACAATGATTATACAAACATTGCAAAGGTAGAAGACATCTTTTAGTGCCTTGAAAAATTCATCTTTTCCTAATAAGCAAATGTCGCCTGGTATGATATTCTACATTCCAATACATCAGGGGAAAAAAGTGTATTTGAAGAAGTCTGTGCGATGATGAAACACACATACGTTGAGTGTGTGGCTGTTTGTGGTGAATGTTGTTTTTGCAGAGCCTATGTAGTTGTTGTGCGATGAATATTGTGGTGAATTTAAAAAAAAAAGTGGAAAAGTAGAGACTCGATGTCGTGTCTTTCAGAAACTGAAGTTAAACCAAGGTGCGTTAGACGGGATGTCGGTGGGAAATTGCAGTCATAAAGTCTATATATGAAACGAATGGCTTTTTTCTGGATGGATTCAATGCGTTTTATGTCACCAATTTTGTATGGGTACCATAGAGTGGCGTCAAATTCAAGTATTGGCCTTACGAGAGTTTTATGTGTTAACAATTTTGTTCCTTTTGGGGCTAAATATAGTGAACAGTTAAGATATCCGAGTTTTTTCAAAGCTTTGTTGCAAGTTGTGTTAATACATCGAGACCATGATAAGTTTGTGGTGAAAAGGAGGCCAAGATATTTGTATTGTGGGACCTGCTGTACAACGTAGTTATTGAACGAATAATTGAATGCTGATGGGGTTTTCCGCCTGCTAAAACGCATGGCAGTACTACATAACAAGTAATTAGCATTAGTATTACACAATACAACAGTAGGAAAAGCAGAGATAACTGCATAATACACTACTCTTTCAGTAAACAGAAATCTGTTAAATGAATCCATCTTGGTAGAAAGCACAGCAACTATTACACAGAACACACAAGACAGGCGCTTATGTTGTGTTGTAAGCGCTTGTGTTGTGTATTTTATGTAATAGTTGCTGCGCTTCCTACCACGATGGATTCATACTAACTGGCCTGATACAATTGTTTATTGTGTTAAATAGAATTGCTGCTTAAGGGGGGAGGCTACCCTGGAGACCGACCTTTTTTATTTTTTAAGATATCTGGATGAAACTTTCAGGGGTTGTTCACTACAATAAAACTAGCACAACTGCTAAGTTTCACGAAGCTGTGTTTCTTAGTTCCAGAGTTATTGAGGTTTAACTGGGTGCTTCACATGGGTGCCTGAGGAAGAGTCGTGAGAAATCCCAGGACATAGTAGAAAGCTGAAATTCATTGTGGTCATTCCTTGATAGCTATCCCAGGGCGCTACAAAGCAGTTTTTTTTTATTCCCCCCCCCCAAAATTTTCACGCAACTTTGAATTTGATGTAACCAGTAATGACCAGATTCATCAAAAATTAATTGTTTATTATAAATTAACAGCCCCAATTTTCAAAAAAAGGAGCTTGTTACGCCCTTGCAAGGTCATTCAGGAACAGAATAAAAAAAACGGCACACAAATCTGATGAACGGTTTTCGAGTTCTTGCTTTCCTCAGCACCACAACTAGCAAAAAAATCCGTTCTGAGAAAACAGGCCGAGAAAGTTCAAAACACGTGTTTTCTTCAAAAAGCTCCACCACAGTAGCTAGAAGTGTCCTGGCGCACTCTTTTCTTCTTTTGCCTGGCCTCCATCTTCTCTTGGTGTCTTTTAGAATTCTTTTTAGGCGTAAAGCGTCTTTTTCACGAGCTCGCTGGATGGCCAGATGACCTGGTTGAAGTCCAATGGAGTCCGATATCACTTGGGTTGCTTTGCAGCAGCCGGCATTGTAGCGCAGCACTGCTTCATGCAGTGCTGTTTCTACCGCGATCAAGGATGAGTGTTGTTCCTTCGGCATCAGAGACCACAGAATGGAGTGGAATGATTCTGATGCATTTAGCGTCTTCGCTCCCAGGCAGCGCTGAAGAAGCGACTTTTGTGACAGTCTTTCGTAGATGGGCAGCATAACTGCAGCGACATAGTCCGGTAGGCTGTGTTTATGTTTTGGCTGTGGCTCACGATTTGCCTCTGCAGCTCTATGGCAGCACCACGATTGAGCCCCCTCTGGGCAAAGTTCATGGTGAGGGCCCTGGTCAGTCGATGTGACATGGTGATATGTTGCCATCACTGCACGCTGCATGGCTGTTAGGTCAGTTGAATTGTTTCTCAGGGCCCAACCATAATATCCTGTCAGCTTTTCAATGAGGGCTTTAGTCAGCTTCCCCTTCCCACTCAGTGGCTTATCACTTTTCTGCACAATGTTTCGAAGAGCACTTCCAATCCTTTTCTGAACATGGTTCAGACATTCTTCTTTTACAATTGGCACTAGCCCGTACACATTCTCTTCTGTGAGGGCAGCGAAGGTACGGCTATCTCCGTCGGACACAAGAGTGGTGTACCGCAGGCCATGCTTGGATACAGACCGCCCAAAGAGAGTCAAGCCTGCCTCCACTTCCATGCTTCCCGATTTTGCGTCTGTGTTTTTCTGGCAAATGTGGTGCTTCTGCCAGCTTTCGTATGCTGCATCTCCAGGTTTGGGCCCTGTTTGGCATCCAAGGCAGTGGTTTGAAAGAACTACAGCATCCAAGATGAGACCTGTAAAGAAGTCAATTACCGATCCCACTCTGATATGTGATGTGTGACCCCGCTTATGCCATGTGCCATCGTACACTACGGTGATGTCCTTGCAGAAGCTGGGGTCCATTTCTTTATATGTTTTGATCACTGCTGTGGCAGAATCAGCATAAAACTTCTCCAAAGCGATGGCCTCTGGCTTCCTGAACGTCTCTTTCAAGTGCTTTTGAAACGTCTTGTGGTGAAGACCTCTGTAAGAGACGTTCATGGCAGCCCAAAAGTCATTAAGAGCTGTTTGCCCCTTGTTTATTTGCTTTATAGCCATTATGGCATGGACATTTACATCGAAGGCCTGCGTGTCCTTTTTGCGGGGTGATGTCCATAATTTATCGACGGTGCCACAAGAGGCGCACACGACTTCAAGTTTTGTTGCAAGTCCAAGCTTGGTGCTCTCTCGGACAGTCATAGCACCTTTCAAACATTCTTTGCACACTGTGCGGCTGAGCACGACGTTAAAGATGTTCATTTGAACGAGCGAAAAATGTTCGCCCTTACTTGTCACTGCAGGTGCAAGAGCCGGCTGCATCAGTTGAAATTTCTTCTGCGTCGCCGGCGTAGACTCGAGTTCAGCGGGAACGGCGTCACGACGTTTCGCATTCGCATCGATTTCTTCCTTCGTTAGGAAACGCGTCCGCAGATGAAGCGACGGTCCACTCACGCTCGATGGCGGCACCGATTCAGACGATGTGCTGGGTCCGGCGATATCAGAAGCACTCGGTGTCACACTGGATGGCATCGATTCGGAGCACGTGTCGAACCCGGCGATCTCGGAAACACTCGGTGCATTTGCGGTTCCAGCCACACTCGATGTGTCGGATTCTCGACTGGCGACAGCCGACAACACAGTTCCGTCGCTGCAAGCAAGCCGCATAGCGCGCTTCCGTGCACCGGACTTCCGCACTGACTTCGGCTTCGTTGCCGGCATCGCCCGCAACAACAAAGACGAAAGGCACAGAACTAGTGCAAAAATAAAAAAAAAACGAGAGAAAATGATCGAAAAGATAGCACAAGCCGAAGAGCGGCTCGTAAGCAGACGTCTGTCGAGGCGGACGGAGCAGAGAGCAACAACGAAGCGAGCGCGCTGGACGCGCCATCGAGAGGAGCGACCGCCCCCGCTGCTGCACAGCAGCCAATGGCGGGCACGCTTTCTCCCACGAGAGATGAATGCGCTGCTCTAGCCAATCAGCGCTCCGCATCGCATCGCGGGAAAACGCCAATAGCATCTCAACTGTGCTGCCGACGCCATTTTGCAAGGCGGCGAACGAGAGAGAAAGAATTCACGGTCAAAACAACACCAAGATGGCGCGGGACGACCGCATGGTCCGGGAATGGCGCGCGCGCGAAGTTTGGTTTGATTTCGGGATTTGCGCCTGTTTTGGACGCTGCGGCGGCCTCGAAAATAGTATTTTTTTTGCACTTTGCGGTTGAATTAGGTGCTGATAATTACAGAATAGGTAGTTTATGAGACATACAACCCAAAAATGTGGTTTTTCAAAAACCGACTTTTTCGCGATTTTTCGGTTTTCAAGGGCCGCGTCCCCCCTTAAATAGAACAACTGTCTCTGATACGATTGGCTTAGTACTTGTATTTTGTACCCCTGTTCATCTCTAGGCAACTTACCAAACTTCTGTTAAATAGAACTTACTTTCCTGGCCCCTTCAAATTCTGTTTAACAAGAGTTTACTGTATAGTTTATTTGCCTTCTTGAGAAGAAATTGAGTATTTTGCGAAGATAGCAAAAATAATAATTGCATACTCTACCTTTCTCTTGCCTGCTGACATGGTAAGTGATACTGATGTACTGCACATGTGTTGCGAGGTTTCCTTGTTGAACAGTACCCATCAATAAAGTCACAGTAGTAGTTAGTTCCAGCGCGGTGTGCATCTGCCTTCGTTTGCATGTCCCATGCTTTTTCTGGCTTTAGTAATATGAACCACCTGGCTCAGATATCAACTCTTCCGGAAAGATGCCACCTTCATTGCAGCAAGATTCGTTTACAGTGGCATTAAAACAATTCTAAAGAAAAAGAATAATGAAAGAAATACTGAAAATGTAGAAACAGCACCAAGTAACAAACCCATTTTTATAACTGAGGGACCATGCCATCTGAAGGTAAATAAAACGAATCTACTGTACCACCATACCACATGAATGATAAAGCTCGGAGTCCACTCAAAGAGGTAATGAAGCACCACTTGGGCTTGGTGAGAAATCTTACAGTCATGTGCAGCAAGGAGTGTTCACAAATGGAGCAGAGTGTCACCACGTTCTTAAGCACACTCGCTTCATACAGTGGCTGGTTCTTGGGTGGACGGGAGGACACCCACCGCTTGATGTCTGATAAGGGGTGTAGGGTAGCATGCTATTGGCCAATAGCTGACAAATTACGAACACCGTTCGGATCAGATATGCTTCTTGGCACAGAGTGCCACCACAAGTTGGCACCACACTCCACAGTGTGCTAATGTTATACAGTGAGCCACACTCGCGCAAACGAATAGCAAAGAGAGACAGAGTTTGTGCCTTATCCCGCATGTGCACAATCACGATGCGTGTTCATGCTATTTATTTGCCCCTAGCCATCCTTTAGCTTTCAGTGCACTCACCTAAATGAGAGAAGAGAAAAAACACTTAAAAAGTGCAGCAAGTTCCTGTAACTTCAAGCGTTCCTGACCGATTCGAGAAACACTTTACAGAAATCGATTCATGAAGGAATAAACTCGTTAGGTTCATGATTATCAAATGACAAGATGAAGACACAAAGACCAGGACCTGACTCTCAACTAATATTTACTTGCTTCAACATACCCACATGTGGTTCCATGCACAATAAAGAACACAAAGGAAATGAAAAGATACAAAAACATGCCCATAACAAAGTGCTTTTAGACAAGTAGGTTGATAGGTGTGCACCAGTTTCCCAAAAGTAGTACACTCAAACCTCATTAAAACTAAGTAACACTTGCCACGTCCAAAAATTTGTTATGAACATATGTTTGTAGCACTGTATCTGCGACAGAGCTATTCTTCGTTTACTTCATTATAACCAATAATGTCTGGGTTCGTCATGTCAAGGTTTGAGTGCAGTCACCCGAGCATGTGGTAAGTTAATCTGAGCATAAGTCTGGACAGAGTAGGGACAAGAAAAGAAAAGAAAAAAAAACGTGGAAAGGAACACAAAACTTGCATATTTTCATATACGCTAGCATGCCCTGAACAATGTGGTGAGTCGATTTGATGTTACAGTAGTTTTTTTTAGTACCTAGTCAGCTAGGGGAAATTCGCACATGCATCAGGAAGCAAGAAAAATAAAAAGAATGACAGAAAGAAAGCAGGTTGCAGTGTGAACTGCAGAACCCCAGCCATTGACCACTCCAAGGAAGGACTGTGCGACCTCCCCTAGCCTTGTGACTGTATTTATAGGGTAGACCAGAAGGTGCCTGCATGTTAAAATCGCACGAACACAAGGCCAACACTGCCACCTATGGCCTTTTGAATCATCATCAGCCTGACTATGCCTACTGCAGGGCAAAGGCCTCTCCAATGCTTCACCAGTCAGCCCGACCTTGTGCATTCCGCTGCCACGTTATACCACTTAACTTTGTCTCTCCCTCGCACATTTGCCTTTGCCTTTTTTGGGAATCCAGTCAGGCCTGCACATTGCAAGGAGTACAGGTGCGCTCCTTCATTTAACAAAACCAACATCATTATCAGGAATCGTGCTTCCGGACGGTGTCTCTCATAATCATATCGTGGTTTTGGGATGATAAAGCTCAACAATTACCATTAATGTCCCGATTCTAGGTATTACAATGCTAGGAGAAACCTGCTGCCAGGCTTCCACAATACACAAAACAGGCGTTAGTTTTTCTTTTTCAGAGCTGCGTGAATAGCGAAATTTTAGGTGTGAAGCAAATTCGAATATTCAAGTGTGAATTTCATTGCTAATTGGATGTTTTTCAAACTTTTCCATATTATATTATACTACTTCAATATAATACAGATGCAAAGCATGTAAAATTCAATATCATTCCATATATCTATTGCTAGCATTCCTTAATTTCATTCTGCAATGTCCAGAAACAGAAGTCACAGTACTTAGGTGGCCTGCTAGTCGGTATTAGTAGACATCGCTATAACTACGTGCTGTGCAAAACGAGCTACCAGCAGCGCTTCCGGAATAAACAACATATGCCAATGAATCGCTGACGTAAATTCATGCAAACAATTGCCCTAGAAATCACGAGCCTCTGTGGAGAATGTGTTTCACTGACTTAGACAACAGAAGCTGCGTCAGCATGAACATTGCATCGTGGTCTTTTTTCGAGATGCACACACGAGCAGCGTTTATTCAGTGGAATAATTCTTGGTCGGTGATTGTGATCTTGGCAGCCCAAGATCAAGATCTACAAGTTTTGACATGATGGCAGTGCGAGTGCTGGTAATAGACACCCCCAAACTTTAGACTTTGGGGCAGTCTGGCGAAATTTCTGTGAATATAACCAAAATGGCTCAGTGAATACCATTTGACATACTTTGGCATACTTGACGCAGGAGTGGGGTCACTGAATTAGAAGAAAAAGCTTTCCAAATCCCATCCCCAAAAGAAAGAAAAAGGTAAAAAGATGAAGATGACAAAAAGGAAATAAACACCCGACCTTTTTCAGCTCAATCCTTCAGAGCATGCAAGCATAAAGTCAACAAACCTTTAATAGAACTGGCTCCCTCCTGGAGGATCTAGATTGCTTGGCACTGCTTGGCGTTGGCCAATCTTCTTCATCACTGGCCCTGTAAGTATGTCTCATTAATGAAACCTTTAAAAATAAATAAAAACAAAAATGAAGTCCCACAGTTTTGCATGCAAGAACCACAGTAGCATTCAGGGGTACACTGTGGTGGGGGACTGCAAGTTAATTATGACCCTTACTTATGACCTCCTGGACCGTTATTATGCATTCACATGTGGCAAGCAGAAAATGCAGTAGTCATGTACCAAGTCATATCATGAAGTTCTGGAATCAAAGCTTGTGCAAAGGCTGGTATTCTCCACCATGACGCCACATCGCAATTATGACATCCATGACTATGGCTTAAGAAGAAAGGGTCGCCCCATGGCAGTCCCTTTTCGAAGTCCACGCATGGGCAAATTCAGGGGTAAAAAGAACTTATGAAATTCCCATTCGTTATTATTCCTTTTATTATATCGATCATCATCCTCAGCCTGACTATGTCCACTGCAGGACAAAGGGATCATCCGCCAGTCAACTCAGTCCTTTGCTTGCTGCTGCCATTTTATACACACAAACCTCCAAATCTCATCTGCCCACCTAACTTTCTGTCTCCCCCAAACTGCTTGCCTTCTCTGGGAATCCAGTCCATCATACTTCTGGCCAGATCTAAAAATGGCTTTAGCTATTTCCCTAGACTTTGACTAGTGTTTCAGGGATGAAAGAGCTCAGATAATACTGATTCTGTAGAAAATATTTTTCTTGAGTATTGTTTTTTGCAAAAAAAAACACAAAAAAACTGGCCCCCTTTCCTATCTAAACTTCCAGCTTACAGATTGCATAACTATATCAATAAATATTTCATTTTGTTTTAACAATTGCAGACTTGGTTTAAAAAGTGTGGCACACCACAAAGAATTACCCAACGAGTAAAGGCTTGCTTTATTAAACATGGCACATTGTGAATAACTCTAACACTATCACTGAAAGAGGTGTACACTGGAAGCTACTGCACCACACTGTTTTACTTGCAAGTCAATAACAGTGTAGTGAATTTCTGGTATAAGATGTTCATCAGAGAAGGCACACTTCGATAAAGTGCACTGGATTCATTTACATTATTTACAGGCACAAAAAAAGGGGGGTCTTCCAAACATCACAAGAAAAAAACCTGAGCAACATTTCACAGCTCTTTTCTCGTATGATGTCACTTTTCGGCTGACCCGCTCCCTCGCCTCTTGTCCCCCCTGAAGCCCCCTTTTCGCCACATAGGCGCCTCTCTTTCTTCGAAGGAGCTCATGAAGGGGCATGAGAGGAAAGGGGTTTGACGCTGAGTCCCCGTCAACGAAACGAGAAACAGGTGCCGCTCAGAACAGAGTAGTGGCAAAAAATTAGGTGTCTAAATAAAATACTAAAAACTGGAAGACAATTATGCAACACATAACTTCGTCTCTCGAGTTCCTTTTGTAGGCTGTGTAATGCTGAGCCTGCAAAAACTATTTTTATGTAATTTTTTTTTTTCACCTCAAGTGATCTGGAGCTATGAGAACGGAAGCTCCTACGCAGAATTTGACATCAGCCCTGGTTTTATTGTGGTCTGCATAATTGTGATGAAGGGTGATGTTTAACTACCGTAATTACTCGAATCTAACGCCCACCTTTTACGTTTTTTTTTCCGGTTAAGCGAGTTCATAAATCGCATGCGTGTTAAAATCGAGTGCGAAAAAAATAAATACGGTCATTCTATTGCCATCGGCATTTCCAAAATGGCCGCCCCCTACGTGCTTCGGCATGGCGCGTCGGCCATTTCTGCCCATGTGCGGCACTTCGTACGTGTGCTGAGGAGTTCGTCATCTTGTAGTTCATTAGCATCGACGGCATGGAAGGGCCGACTCCAGAAACTCGACGAGTGCACCAAGATGCCGCTTTTAAAAGAAAAGTCATCGCATGTGCCAAAACAGACGGAAATCGGGCTGCATCGGTCATTCGGAGTTCCCGAAACGTGCGTGTGGGACTGGCGGAAACAAAAGCAGAAGATTGTCAAAGATTCATGCAAAGGCTTCAGTGGATCACAGCAGGGTCGGTTTCCGCAAATTGAAGAGCTGCTCGCCGAGTATGTGCTTGAGCAGCGAGCGGCACAGCGGCCCGCGACGACAGAACTGCTCTAAGTGCGGGCTGTGCAGTTAGCTTTCGAAAAAGGGCTAACGCGGAGCCAGTTCAAAGCGAGCAGGTGCTGGCTAACTAACTTTATGAAGAGGAAATGCTTTTCCCTCCGAAAGCAAACGGGCATGCGCCAAAACTTGCCGGAGGAGTACAAAGAAAAGCTTCACAGTTTTCAGAGGTTCGTCCTAAACTTGTGGCACAACAACGGCTACCTGCTTGGGCAAATCGGGAATGCCGATCAGACGCCTCTTTACTTCGACATGCCTGGCACCACAACCGTCGAGAAGGGGGCGAAGCAAGTTCGCATGCTGACATCGAGCCACGGTAAAACAAGAGTGACGGCAATGATCCGTTGCACGTCAGATAGGCACAAGCTTCCCCCGTACCCCATATTTAAACGGAAGACGCTCCCGAAAGGAGTCGTTTTCCGGAGTAGTGTGATCGTGCGGGCCAACGAGAAAAATGGGTGTGCGTTGCAATCGATGTCTTACTTTTTTTTTTTTTTTCGTCGTGAAAACCGAGTGTGCGTTACAATCGAGGGCGCGGTAGAATCGAGTAAATACAGTATTTCTTTATTTCAACATAGTGCAGCCTTTAAAGGGGTCCTGCAACACCTTTTTCAGAAAACACTTCCGATCGGTAGTCGAGGCTCCTGAGGACACACGAGCGAAATATTATAGCACAGCACATGACCTGGAATTTGAAATTCTTAAAACCAGCTAAAAATTGCTTCGTCTTTTCTCGGCAAATGACCAAACAGGCTCAAAAATTACGTCACAGTCGCAGCATGGCGCGCTTGGTCGTTACCGAGCCCGCCGCGGGATGCCGTGACGTCCACACGTGCACATGCAGCCGCACTGAAAAGCTGCATATTCGAAGGGGGGGAAAAAGAGAGGGAGAAAAGTGCTCAAGGTCAAGAGGCAGGCATGAAGCTTTTCTTCCCCTTGCCAAACCTGCCTGCTTAGCTTCCAGTGCTTTCGTCGGGAAGTTTTTGAATCGGCGAATTCGTGAGGCAATGAGCTCCTTTATTGAATTTATTCCATGACTACTTGAAAACGTGTTGCAGGTCCCCTTTAAGGGCTACTCAGGAGTCATCATCATCATGAGCCTGACTGAGCCCACTGCAGGGCAAAGGCCTCCCCCATGATCTGCCAATGAACCCTCCCCCATGATCTGCCAATGAACCCGGTCTTGTGCTTTCTGCTGCCACGTTATGCCAGTGAACTTCTTATTCTCATTGGCCCACATAACTTTTTATCTCCCCTTCGTGCGTTCGCCTTCTTTGGCAATCCAGTCACTTAGCCTTAATTACCAGCGGTTATACTGCCTACGTGCTACGTGCCCAGCCCTTGTTCATTTCTTCTCCTTGATTTCAATTATGGTATTTTTAACCCCGCTTTGTTCCCAGACCCACTCTGCTCTCTTCTCATCTCTAAACCTTTTCAGACATCACCTATGAAGAACTGTCTCTAAATGTTTACAATCTCTACAACGATACTTCAAGGCATTCAATATTCTATTGCAACAAGAATAATGAGATAATTCTGGAATTTATTGGTGTTACAGCAACTCAAACTAATTAAACTACTAATAAATATATTTTTACCCTTAAATCATACATGCTAACTTTTTGCACAAATAGTATAAAATCTCAGGCTAGGAATATAGTAAAAAATCCTTTTTGCTTATGTCCATTTTAAGGAAAGAAAAATTATTTTCACATTGCTTGCAGGAAGCGGCACGTCGCATGACTCCTCAAACGTATTAGTGACTTAAGAAAAGTGATCATATATATCAGTAGACTACAAAATGTGGTTAAATGAAGACAAATCAATTATGAAGGAGATTCGATTCATCCAAAGTAGAATATATCTTGCTGTTACTTAGCCTCTACACCATGCAAAAAGCTAAAATAGGTGATGTAGACAATTGTGTACATAACATCTCAAAGGGTTAACGTTACACCTTTCATTTTCCTTTAAATCACTCGCTGCGTCGTCCTCAATTTAAGCTGAATCCTTTTTGTAAACCTCCAAGTTTCTGCTCCATAGGTAAGTACTAGCAAGATGCAGCTGTTATATACCTGTTAAAAACCAGGAAGCGGAGCCGTAGTAGAGAATGTCTTGTTTATTACACACGGAGTTAAAAACTAAAAGTAAAATGGAATGCGGGCGCGCAATCCAGGCACGCTCTAGTTCTCTTCTTCCTCTTTGCCGCTCTTCTGAAATAGTATTTAACAATACCTTCCTCTTGAGGGTTAGTGGCAGATTACCATTCATAATTTCAAAATGCTTCACGAATATCATCCACCCAATCCTTATTAATCTAGTTATTCCACTCTCATGGTTTGGCTCCGCGGTTAATACCTGCCCTAAGTAAACATATTCCTTTACAACTTCCAGCATCTGTCCACTTATCGCAAAGCGCCATTTTCTGCCAAGACTTACTTTTCTGCTTTCCATGTCCAGTTCTGTGATCATGAGCTGTAATTTGTCTCCTGAGTTACTCATCAAGACAATGTCATCAGCGAATCACAAGATACTAAGATACTCTCAATCAACTTTTATTCCTAACTGTTCCCAATCTAGGGTCCTAAAAACCTCCTGTAAACATGCAGTGAATAGCAGTGCAGAGATCGTGTCTACCTACCTTACACACTTCTTTATTGGAATTCTGTCGATTTTTTTATGGAGAACTATGGTGGCTGTGGATCCACTGTAGATTTCTTCCAGTATACTTATGCAAGGTCCATAGATGCCGTGATTTCACAGTGCCTGCATTACGGCTAATGTCTCGACTGAGTCAAACGCCTTCTCGTAGTCTATGAAGGCTATGTATAGGGGTTGGTAGTATTCTGCACATTTTTTTATTACCTGATTGATAGTATGAATATGGTCG